AGATGTTACTTAGCAGCTATAAAACCTTAAAAAGTTACCTAATTATTCTGAGCCTCAGTTTCATCAGTGAAGACGACAATAGAACATCTGCCTCATAGATTTTTAAGAAAATTAAGGGAACTAATGCATATTAATTGTGTAGAATGGTGTCTGGCACACAGTAATCACTCTATGCTTAGGATTTATTATTGTTGCTGTTGTTATTGTCCTATGGAATACCAGACATAGAAAGAATAAGGTAGATTTATATCCATTAGCTGGGGAAGCTCCCTGATATGCATGGTCGAATGAAAACAAGCATGGAGGGCATGCCAGTACTGACTGTTCTGCTCTTCAAGTATAACAGTATAACTCTTTCGTAGATGCTGATGCATGGATGGATATGGAGGAAAGGATTTGGAGTAGGAACTAGAATTAGAGGTGGTGTGCCAAAAGGACTTTATCTTTCTCTGATTTTACATGGATGGTTGGATGGATGGATGGGAGATAAAAGATAATAGGTAGATAGATGCAGGTGGGTGGATAGATGGATGGAACTGAATGGATGATAGATGGACAGATGGCTGGCTGCTGGATGGCTAGATATACATACATACATACATACATACACACATACATACATACATACATACATGAACATAAAATACACTAGTCATTTGTAACTTTAAAAGCATGGATTAAAAAGGTCTGAAGTAGTACAAATTACGTGTGGCCTTTTGTAATGAGGAAACTGAAGGCCAAAGGCGCCCACTAAATGTCTAAACACACAGCCAACAAGCCCCAAGGGGAAGGATTTGAGCCCAGCTCTGCTCTCTTCTAGGCCCTTCCACCACCCCTTTCTACCACCCCACCCTGCCTCTCCAGGCCACCCAGGAGTTGAATGTGACAAAGGCGGGAAGAAGGGGCCTCCTTGTCTATACTGGCTAGAGCAGTAAAAGCCAAAAGTGATAGAGAATTGTATTATTTTGTTCTTCATTAATGAACCTGTTGGAATGTGCCATTCAGCAACTGAGCTCAATGGTTCCTGCTGTTCCAGCAAAACAAAACAAAACCTCTCCACAAGAGCCACTTCCCAGCCATTTTCTGGTCCTATCTGTCAGGGGACTGGGAAAGGGACAGAGACCTATCAGAGGGGACCTTCTGATCCACTAGTCCACTGGTTTTCTCCCTGGCTCTCATCTCTGCCACCCCCATCCCCATTATGCAGACTGGGATGCTTCCCTAGGGTTTCCTGACTATCACCACTAGCGTCCTGGTACTCTAGGGTGTTTATCAGCTTCTCTTCTCCAAGGCCTCTGTGAAACAAAGCAAGCCACTTTTTCACCTTGGCTTAATGGTTTAAGGGTTTTTTATGGTTCTAACAGGCAAAGAACATTGGAATTTTCCCTGGTTTTTGTTTTTCTTTTGTAAAACTATTAAGTTCTTCCTCTGTAAACATGATGTCTAATTAACACCTCTGGCCGTTTATCTGTCTTCAAATTTTTAAGGAAAATTTCCCTAATCCAGAAGGAAGACCTCTTCCAAATGTCAACAGTAGCTTCCATCTCAATTTGTAACACATTTAAAGAATGCCATAACTAGAATTGCATTTACTCCTCACTAGGTTGCTGGGTGGTCTTACATGAGTATAACCTCATCCAGCCTCAGTATTTTCCACCTAAGAAATGGATGCAGAATCCACACTTTGGGTTTCTGAGAGGGTAAGATAGACTCTTTGAAGTGCTTGTACCCAGTCCAGGGCTGAGAGCTGTCCCTTCCTTCTTCCTGCCTAACAGTAGTCCTTCCCTTGCCAAGGTTCTCAAGATACTATTAGTTTGGGTCTCCATCACCACTGCCGCTAGGTGGCTTGCCCTCCTCCCAAGTCCCATCTTTTCATTTTCCTTGAATAGCTAACCCCAGAGTTGAGGTCTAATTGCGTGCGAGAGTGTGAGAGCACTGATCAGGTTTCTCTGAAAATGACTTCTTTGCTAAAACCACAACCTCAGATCTGATACTGAAGGAATCCACTGGCAATGATCCCTGTCAAAACAACTGGGTGACATCCAGGACTATCCTCCAGGACTGGCATCTGCTCCCCCAACCCCAGCAGAGCCCCATTCCAGAGCTCCCCAGGGGCACGACCCTAATGCCATCACCACACTGATCCTTGTGAATGGGAACAGAGAACTCTCTTTACTGTCCCCATCTCTGCAGAAAACACACACACACACACACACACACACACACACACTCACACACACTCCAACTTTGAGAATGCTCTGGGCACTGCCCATTCCTTCCTTAGCTAGCTGGAGCTGCCAGCACAAGATCTGCCTGGCCAAGACTGCTTTGTTCATTCCCAGCACCCTCCCTCTGCCTCTCCAGAGTCAAGGTTTTGAAGGAGTTTCAGGGGCAATTGACTGGTGGGGTGAAGGCCCTAAAAGTGGGGACTGCTGCCAAGTCCCTTTCTTTGCCCCACCGTGTGTCTGATAAGCCTCCTGTAGTTTATTCTTCTCCTAAACACTTTGATAGGGTGCAGGGCCCAGAGTTGCCATAGAAACACCTTTTAACTCCTCCTCATCCAGAAGGCTGTGCCAGTTCCCCTGGGCTTTGGAGAAGCAAGAGAAAAGAGACACCTGTGGATATGAAGACAGGAGAGGGAAAGGCACTGGGGGGTGGGGGGAGAAGGGTCAGGTGGGAGCTTAAGGAGACATGCTGTGCCATTCCCTGGCAATGTGGCACCTGGCCAGGAAGAGAATACATACAGGAAAGTTCTAGAAAAGGAAGGTGGCAGGCTGATTGGAGCATCTTTAGGGGGCTCTGCAAGCCCATGGGATGCAGGGATCAAGGGAATGAAAAGTACTCCTAAACATTTGAGGGGCTCTAAGCAAGGACAGTTGGGAGCCATCTACTGGAGGCAGCAAGGTGCCAGCGGCTGCCAGGCGGCAGGAGGTCAACAAGCCAGCAGGCCCACACCCACACCTCCCATTTTTAAAAGCATTATCTCATCACTAGTGCAGTGCACCAAACTGAGGCAGGCTGAGTGGGTTTGGAACCCTGCCACAGTATCGAAGATTTTTCTTTCTTTTTGCTACTACAGTGTTCTGAGTTTGAAGTACTTCCTGGTAACAGCTTTTCTCTGGGAAGTGTTTTATGAGGGAGAAAGGAGTTGTTTCTTGAATAAACCCAGAGAAATGACACAAACCTTCAGCAGCCCAGACCTACAGCAGGAGCCTTATGGAAACCTCAGCAATTTGCTGATTCTAGGAGGGATACTGGGAACAGGATCTACTGGCTCTTTTTGCCACTTTTCCATGAACTCCCAGGGTGGAAACCTCAATGCAAAAGGTACCAGGCATCCAGATGAGGCCTGCCTCTCTCCCCTACACACACCACAAAACCCAAATGAACACACTCAAATCATTCTCCAACAGAAAAGAACATGGGCTATAGTCTGCACACCCATATTCCACCTGCTAGCTTACAGGCCAGGAACAAGCTTTGAGCTAAGCAAAGCCAGGACTCGGGAGGCAGTAATTAGTTGGGAATGTCACTGGTGGGGAGGGGAGGGAAAGACCAAGAGGAATCTGGGTGGGGGCACTCAGGAGGAGGGAGAAAACCTCCTCAGGCTTCCAGCAGCCCAAAAAGATCCTTTAAGCTATCTACAAAGCCAGGGCCAGTCAGGCACTCCCTGGGGAGAGGGAAGGGTGTGCCTTTGGGTCCCAGGAAACCTCCAACAAGGGTGACTGCAGGTCACACAAACACCCAGGTTGCCAAGTGGACTGACCTTCTGGCCACTACAGCCACCTCCCAGATTTCCCCCTAGGCTGGCCTGGCCCACCAGCAGTGCCCCTCCAACCTCAGTTACCTCCCTTGTCAGTCCCCCACCCCTCCCCACCCTCATCACCACACATTTGCAGAGTAGAATCCCTCACCCAAGACCCAGCGGAATATTTCCTTCTCCTTTAAGACCGTACTTAAAACACACACGCTCCATTCTTCACCTCTGAATTAACACAGACCAAGGGCGGCTGGAGCTTTTCCCACCCACCACCCAGGGAGCATTCGGCAGGGACACTGGACCCCAGTGCTTTATGAGACTTTAAGTCTCTTTATGTCTTTAAGACAGAGAGGTGTTTCTCAGCTCCCACTCTACCTGGGGCCCTCCAAACAAATGTCCCCAACACTCCCAAACAAGTTCTACCCAGATACCCTCCAGGCCGTCTATAACAGTTGGCCCTGCTTCTTACCAGGTCTCTATAATCAACACACAATCAGTTTGGAACTGTCACCACGATATGCGACCCTTGGCATCTTTGTTTTGGGTGACAAATCCATTTTGTCCTCTCTCTC